TGGAGCATCCGAACGTGATAACCACTGGATTAGAGGAAGAAAATACGAAGTAAAAATACAGATCAAAATAACGCACCTATAGAGCATCACACAAAATCAGCATATTAATTTAAAATATATTCCTTACTGATAGTGAAATGAGCTTTGAAATGCTTTCAGCATCTGGAGTATTTGAGAGAGTTTTTTCTCGCATTTCATTCTAAGGATGTTATAGATTTCTCGGAAAATTTTGAAAAAAATACATCTTTTTTTGAAGCATCGTCGAATGCCCATTGGGCATCGACTGGTGTTGGAATCACAGCTGCTGACTGTGTTCAACAACGCGATCGATCTGATTTTCAAAATCATCGGTGAATTTGATAAACTGAAAGACGATCAAGTTGGAGTGAATGATGAACGTGATGTGAGTCTGAAAGGAATTGCTCATCTTGATTTGAGATCGTTATTTATTTTGTTCGGATCGGACGCTAGTTATTCAGTTGAACGTTTGTTTGCACCTCAAATGCAGCTGTTCCTTTCAGCACACTAAGAAGTAGCCACATTTATGGATTTCCGTGATGTGTAAGATGTTCTTTATTCGAAGACATTTGGCGAATTCGCCTGCGATTTCGAGGCGAATTTTCTTCGCGAAAGCTTTTGGAAATTACTGAAGCAACAAGATTGCAAAATCAGCATTCAATTCAAGTAGATAATTCTAGGATTGTATATCAGATCATGAATGCATAAACAATCCGAAATTCCAAAAAATTTTTGGCTTAAAATCCGATCAAAAACGATTACTAATGACTAGTTTACCACTTCTGAGTAGGCTTACATCAATAGACATGAATGAAAATGGTCGTTGAGCAACAGTTTTTTGAATCGCTCTTCATGTCCGTTGAAATTATAACGTCTTGTTTCTTGAGAGGCAATGATAGATGAAAGACTTAAGAATGTACAAAGAAATCTAAGAATCTCATTCTGCTGAGCTGAAAACGATATTCAAACATTTTGCTTTTGCAGCAACTACGTTATGAGATTCGTTATTGCGATGCTGTCTTCACTGAGGTTCACGAACGCTTTCTCAAGTCTTATTTGGAGATGCCGTGGTGACGGATGGATCGTTCAAAGAGATGATTTTCATTTTCATCTGATCAAGATATCATAGTAAATCTGCATAAATCAATCTTAATTGTATTATTTGATCTCTGTAAAGTACGGAAATGATCTTATGTAATTGTTCGTTGATTGTTTGAAAGATGCATCCATAAATTTAATTTGGTTCTTTGGAAACACTGCACGTATCATTCACTATTAGCCATCGATGTCACCTTCGAACAGTGATGACTACCACTCGATAATTAGCCCATGAAGAATAATTATTCGGCTTACCTGAATAACAATGAATGGAATAATGAGGTATCGCCTTTCAGTGGCGATACTTGCTGCAAACATCATAAATGAACCGATTTCGACGATGAATAGAAGAATCAAAACAATTTCTGGTATCGGTACGTGGAATTTCTCAATGAGAACATACGTCAGCACAGCGGTTGATAAAAGCAACGCGAGTACCGTTGAGACGAGAACCGCTTTCTGAAATTATTTGGGAATGTTAAAATTATTCCAGGTTTGTGCAATAGGAAACGAACAAATTCAAGACTATTTCCTCAAAAACTCAGTGACTGCTCGAACGGAAGACTTCAAAAACAATTTCCTATCTGGACTAATCATTACAGGGTGTCTAAGGCTGATCACGATGAAATTTCGCTAAGCGAAAAAACATCAACCGAAAACCTCCTCTAATTATTGATATCGAAGATTCAATCCGGTTTTTGATACAGCTCACTTGCGGAAAGCTTTTGAAAATCATGGAAAGTCGAATTTGGACGGAGAAATGAGAAATGTTCAAAATTTACCCGGATACGAAGGCCAATACATTTACAGCACTGATTATGCGCCGGTGTCGGCACCGATAGCCAATCGTACAGACTGTACATCGCTCAGCTGATCGAACTCTAATAGATTATCAGTGTTACTTTTAAATTTATGATGAATTGCGATTAATTTGCGTACATTCATAAAATCTCGTGATTTATAATTGATTCAAAATGTTGATGCGAAATTTTAATTGCAATCAAATGAAACTAAAGAAATGTTATTGAATACAGCTGATACCAGCTCGTTTCATGTACACTATCAACTGGATTTATACGCATATTATCGTATGAAAAACCCTTTTCAATCGAAACAATACTTCCTGTCTGACAACTGATGCAGTTTTCTGAGAGTTTTTGGAGTGAACCCCTATAAATGTGCTCACTATCGAAACTTGATCATTCTACTGATGAAGAAAAGTACCAGAGACGAGAAACATCAGAGAAGGACACTTTGTTCAGTAACTTCTTCGCAAATGGTTGATCAAAAAGTATGCATTCGAAAAGGTGTTATTTTTACTTTAGTTATCAATTATTAGGTGACAAACAATCAAGTCCATCTTAGTCGTCGCTGCATTAGAGAAAGAGCTCTTTTTCTTAGAGGATATTCTAAGCAATTGCAGAATTCGAATCGTTTTCGATGAATGCGATAGCAATAATTCGATGAGTGAAGTGTGATGGTGTTTAGCGAGGAGAATGACGGTAACGTCAGGTAGAAAACATATATAAGTCGGTAGGTTGAAGGAAGTGACGGAAGGAGTGTTCATGCTTGAGTTCAACTATCGGACTGTTAATGAAACAGACAAACGACGGAATCGATGAGGCATTAAAATTTTTAATGTTGTATCTAGTCAGTGATATCATCATTATATATTTTCACGTATGTCAGGCATAGAACAATGCATAATTTACAATTTATAACAAGAAAAGTTCATGACGTGATATCTGTCGTGTGTCCATGACCAGAAATACATACAGTGGAATAGTGAGATAATTTTCAATGCGATCGCATGATGATTTCAATGGGATCACATGAACAGTAGTGCTGTGTTCGTCAGCAATATTTGCTGGCTGTATNGCTGCCAACTGGAGACTCCCTCGTATTTCAATAGTTTTTACATATTCATAATTCATTTATCGTTTTACTTGCATATCTGGAATCAGTATGCTGATTTTGTGCAAAAGTTAAATGTAGGTGATCGTTTGCAAACAGAAGTAACTATGAGATGGAATCAATTGAGTGTTACTGAAGTCTCGATAAGTCTTAATCAAATACTTGATGGCTCATGATGAATAACAAATAGTTGATCATGAAGGCATGCATACATTGTAATATGACAAAGAGAAGCTTTGCATTACGAGTGCTTGACGTGTTCGCTCGGTGAACAAGGATTAAATAAGCGATCAAAAACTTCTCTTGTTGACAGTTTTATTCAGCTGCAAAAAAAACGATGTGATTTGGTCTTTCGTAGAAGATTTGCATGCAAATATATCACTTCAGCTAACTGTTTATTTTGCTCGAAAAAGATTTCCCTTCTAACACCGTTGTTTGCCACTGATTTTCCAAGCAAATGTACGGGTGAAGAGGTCTTCAAGTTAAAAATGCAGTCTTAAACTGTCCTCATCAATGCGCATTCTGAATGGTCGATTCAGAAAAGTGATGCATCACTTTGCGGCCTCACATCTGGATTAATCAAATCTTCGTTGTTTTTTTTTTTTTGAAAATGGCACTCTGACGAGTACCCCAAAGGTTCCTCAAAATTGAATGCCAATACTATCATTATTGCTGTGAGCGTGATTTTCGTGTCCTTTTCACAAATAATTAGCTTACTGACACTTGAATAACAATCTTTTTATGACTCTAAATCATGTGATTGTTTACTTCTCAGCCTTTTCAACGCTACAGTATTTTATAGGCATCATCAGACAACTGAAATGAAAAACAAGAAATGCCATCATCCAAGATATTAGCAAAGGGGAACCCTCAGTGAGGTAATGATATTACAACTGAACAAAGTATTCATCTAAGAAACACTTGAAGAGTTCACCACAACACGTTCCTACTGAAAACCTCATCATCAAAGTCCGATCGTAACATCGATTACTGCAGATGTTAATTGCTGAATGTGATGCACAACAGTTATTAGGTCTGCAGCTTATAATTCCTTACATCTAACTAAGAAAAATAAGACTATTTACTCCGGGACAAATATGAAGCACTTGGGTACATTCAGAGAAATGTTCCAATAACAATACCGTAGCAGAATGCACTAAATAGTTTGGGTGTCAGAGCAAACAAACATGTCAATTAATTAGATATATGGATGAACGTGTTGATCATAAACACTAATGAGTTGAGACATTCAGTGAAGGTGAATCTGACACTCGTACTATATATATGTATGCATGCATTTCTAGCAGATTAATTAAATTTCATTCTTTTCCGATAAGGGTACAAACCGGATGGACCAATATTCTCTAGCCTAATTAAGCAGTTGTTTTTGAATATTTTATTCCTCTTATTTGCTGTAAAAAGTTGAATTTCTACGTAAAATTTTATAGTTATGAGATAGAATTACTTCAGTGGCTAATGAAACATCGCGTGACATAGCAGTGAAATTTTGCGTTGGCCAATTGCTACAAAGCAGCGTCTTTTGCTCCTTGATATGGAATAAGTTACTGGAATCACATCGATATTCGGAGAAAGTGAAATGAAAGAATACTGATTGCATACACTTATGAACGCTTCAGTCGTAAATATTAGTAACAATTCACGCAAAATTTATCGATGATTTTTTAGCTCTTCTTGATGTGAGGTTTCTTGGCAACATGTATAGAACGCAACATTCAGGACTGATCCATATTTTGGGAAGATGTAATAAATTTCTTCGATTCAAGTTCGAAAACAGTGAAAAGTATGGGCTGATGACAACGATATGGAAAGCATTTTGAGTGTGGAAGAAATAATTATTTTTTAACGATGCGGTTTCATTAGCATTACTATTGCTATTGTTATCGTTGTCATATTTACAGTTGTTTGTATCCTTTCGATAACTATCATTGTTCTTTCCTTCATTATTGGTTCTGTCGTCAAAAATTTATCATTATGTTAAAATTATTCACTAGCGATGCTATCCCTATCACCTTGACAAGTACAACCTCAAAACATTTTGTATTCCTATCCTTCTACCATCGTGATTGAGTGCTAGTCGATGAAGCAGTAATGTCGCTGGCAGGCTTCTCAATCAATTCATCACGAGAACTAAAACTAAAACATCTCTCCCACCAGAGCAATCGTCAATTAGTGATACTCACTATCTATGGAATTGCTGATGCAACCTGTGGGGAAATTTATGAATGGATTCTGAACATGACGAAAGCTTTAGCGTTGATTTATGAGTTAATGATTGATGAGCAACGCATAATCCTATGGAACTGCATTTATGCGGTTATAGCTCTCAATTCAACTGTTATCTCAGCATTTCGAGCATCACAAAGATGATTATTCAGCATAAACACGCACACAATGTGGCATATGAATCTCATTAAAAATATCCACCTCTTCACTAAAATGCTTCATTCAATCGCATGCATCATCAAGGGATTAGATTACAAAGACACACTACGATTCAATCTCGAGCAATTAAGTCAACATCAGGACATAATCGATTATTAGTGAGCAGTAAGAGTGAATAGAGTTTCTGCTCTCGCCGAATATTGTGAAGCACCTTCACAACATTCGATGAATGGCAAAATCAACGTCTCCAACCACGCATCATTAGAAGAATAATGCATTTCATTTCAATTGTCGACCAAAATCGATGGAACATAAATTACGAATGAACGGAGAAAGCATTGAGCATCGCCCCATTATGGAACATCTTTATATTATGAGATATTCCATTAAAGTAGGCCGGCTCTTAGACTTATTCTAGAGTAATTCCCCACCCAAAAATTTTCAGTGACTACGTAGATAGCAATTAAAAAACTTTTAAGGTAACGTCAAACCGACGGTGTGCATTAATATGATCGTCAACAGGATATACGCATAAAATCTAAAATAGCATTGAGCTGCTCTCCTTCCGGCAAGTGCTAGCGTTAAAGCATGTTACATACTTTAGAATTTATATTCGATCACTCCTCTAGACTGGAGAGAGATCATAAACGTGACACGACGGTAGCGTGATGAGATTATTGTCTTCAGAAATGCAAAATAGTCCTAATGGAAGTCTCAAAATTTGCAACGAAGTTCAATACTAACAGCTAACATTATCAAAGCACAGTATCAAACTGAAGAGATCCACATATTTGCTCGGCTCAAACGAATAAAAGCTTAACACAAATCTCAAATGCTCATTTCAGTAGACACCTCTTCTTTCGCAATAGATTTATCGCAACTAGCATACTAACTAACAAAATATCACTCCCGGAGAACTGATTCTGAATAAATTATTCGACATTCGTCTAACAAATGTCACACTTAAATTATTCAAACATTCTTCATTCCAAAGGTGAGTATAATTCCCCAATATCACGGCATTTTCAGTAACCTTCTCAAGATAATTTTTCTTTCAGTAAAGGTGAGTGCTCACAATAGCCGATTGATCGACACACACAGAGACAGATTCGTCATTATTTTGATTTGTTCGTTCGCTCGTTTGCCCACAATACGAATGGAATGAATCACTCAGACAAGCCCAATTTTCTGCTATTCTAACTGATAACAAAACGATGCAATTCCGTCTGAATGAACGATGAATGAACAGCGCACAAATGCTGATGAATTTCAGTCAACTCACTCTATTTGAAGCATCAAGCGTGGCTGCATCGAAGCTCATATTGTTCTCGCTGGTTATTGGCCAGCAAGCAATTATCATCCAGACAAGAACGGAACCAATTCAGTTTTATTGCATTTATTGTAGCCAGTTGACTGGAAATTGAATTGAAGTGACTGCAGGAAAGTATTTCGAACGAACGCAGTGATCAATTGGAGAGCAGAGCAAACAAAATTGATTCAAAAATTGTTGGAATTAGCAAGAAATGAAGTCAACCCGATCGATGCTTCCAGTAAACCGATTCAAGAAAATGAATTTTTAACAATAAGAATATTTTTGCTTTATTGGAATCTGTTATCTTTGATTTGAATTTAGTTGAAACTGAAATGAAGAGCAGATAAAGGAATCGATGTCAACTCCAATTACGGTCATAAAACTGCTGTAACCAGAGCCATAAACGAGTCTGATTTTCGGATTAATTGCTGGCTGTTCAGCTGGCACGTCAATAAACGTGATCATTAACGATTGGGTTCGAGAAGTGAGAAGCCGTCATTAAACATTTCAATTAGTTGTTGTTTAGCATTCGTTCAACTGCTGGTCTATGATGGCCGGTTTGTGATGTTCATTATGACATTGATGAATTAATGCATAGATGAATATCAATGATTGGTACGTGAAAACGGTTGGGATAGGACTATGATGAAAATATTGAGGATTATCACCTCATGAATTACTATTCCGTTGCATGAAATTAGCGAATACTAATTGTAAGAGTCGAAAGTGAATGCGAGAGAATGAGAAAATAAGCGAGAGAGCGAATAAATAAGCAGAACTGATAATGAAAGAAATGGAAAACGAGAATGGGAGAGATTGTTTGGTGTGATAACCAGCCAGATTGATGACAGCCAGAAGGGAAACTTGAAAGGCGAGACTTTATGATCAGTGTCATAGGATGGCAAATAACTGATTGAGTTCTTAAGTCTAAAGGCTGCCAAAAAATTATTAAGGTGACAGCCGTAGAATGTAAATTATGCTGGATAATATCAGATACGATGATATAAGCAGTTGTTTAGGAGAATGATTCAAGTTAGGAGAATGCTTCAAGAGGAATTCGAAGTGAATTAGGATGCGCAGAATCATGAGAGCATTCCGAGTTGTCGTTGTCTGTTAAATCAACCATGTTCATTTCAAGGGATGGGTGGAAAAAGTAATAGTGAAAGTAATATAGCAAATTGCATTTTTTTTTCGACATAACAAGTTTGTTGGTGGTGAAAGAATTTAATTTGAAATCGATTAAACATCTCTGAAGAGCGAACAAACTTTGAAAAAAGCGAAACGTTTTCATTGTTGGTGAGCGCTAACAAACGATAGAATGAAACGCAATGGGCACATCTCGAACAATGAAAAGCTGATCTGAATCAGCGTATCGATTGGATTGTAATCCTTCCTCACAGTTCGTTTGATGTTTCGTCATCATTCGCTAAAAAGCTGGTTTTTGCATATGTCGGCTCAGTGAAATCGTTGTTGTTTGCTGCGGCTGATATTTTTGAAGTATTTCGAAACAGTGTTTATTGATCATTGGTAGAGGACAGGTTTTCGCAATTGCAACAACAGATCAGCAACAGACTGATTTTGAAATAAATAACGAGGAGAAATGTAATTGAGAATATAACAGAAATTGTGAATTGTTGAAGTTAAACGAAATTTTCCATTGAAATTAGAAATTACACATTTTTTTGATATTTTCGTGAAATGAATGAAAGAGACACTGACTGCCAAAAGGCAAATGAGTGAATGAATGATCGGGAAAAGTGTTCATTCATGGAGATGTTTACATTCAAATGAATTGGAATTAAAACGGCCAAATAATGATAGCGCATAATGATGTTAGTTAGTGATTAAGGCACGAAATAATATTATTTTATGTTCGTTAGTTGTCGAATTCATTCGGATGAATTTGAATGTAACTGAGCGAATGCCTCAAGCTGTTGCATTTATTTTCGACAGCACCAACAACAACAACATAATGAGGAATTGGCTCATTCATGTGTCCATTTTTGATCATTTCGTTGCTCTGATCTCAGAGTGGATGTAACAAAGCAAGTTTTTTTTTTGGAGAATGGAATGTAAATTTAATAAAAACAATTTCATTCACGTGCCATCCACCGGCATTCACCTGTTGCTGCTAGTGTATCAGTTCTTACTGCGTGAATAATCTCTGTTATCAGTGTTTGTGTCGCTTATCAGTGTGTCTGTAGATGTTTTTTCGTACGACATTTTTCTGCCTCGAGACGTCAAACTTTGAAAAGCGCATTCATTTTTGCGTCAGTTCATATGAAGACTGTCATCATTCTGCAATCATTTCAGAGGCAAAAGAGTCATATAGATGAGGATTTTCACATGATGAGAATTGGAGCGATCGACACTATCCGAAGATCAGAGTCAACGGAAAACTATTCGAAACATTCACTAACATTTAAAAAGAAACTGGAGTTTGTTATGAGTATTTTTCTGATTGACAGACAATCGGACTGAATGAATTGAAAAAGTAGTGGGAAGCTTGTGAATTGTGCGTGATTACGTCAGTTTTTAAATTATCATCAACTTTAAAACGAATGATTTGGTCAATGCAAAGTGAAAACATGTCAATCAACATCGATGGAATAATAGCAATGAAAAAATTTTCAGTTTAACAATTATTTCAATGACAGGAAGTATGAAAACATTGCAGATATTTACAGAAGTGGAGAAATTCTTAGAATATTGACCATACCTGAACCTTTAGATCTAATTTATGCTTGATTCCACTTCGGTTTCACTTCGATTAGCTTATGACTATTGCAAGTGATTTGTATGAAAGCCAGCTATAGATTAGTTGTTTGTTTGCGTTTGACAAAAAATAATAATCACATTATCGGAGGTGAGAGAATGTGAAGTGAAATTACTGGTTGTTTCTGATTTTAAGAAAATTTTGATCACTCTAATGAATAAGTGATATGCAATGAGAATTAATCAGAACAAACCAAGCAGACTAAAATTTCTTTTAATATTTCAAGGGAACTCACTCGCTTTCCTTTAAAATTCTAGAAATCATATCTGAACATATCAGAGAGTTCCTATTATGATCAGTTCGCTGAAAATGCTCCATTATTCATATCTTCTTGTATTAATTAACAATGAACGTCGTACCAATCCATGCTCTTGGTTGTCATAAGACTTCACATATCCGTTTTTACGTTCGACTCATGACAAGATAAAATTTCTTCTCCTGGAGTGTAGCGACTAAAAAACACTCTTACAGATTTATTCTTAGGTGTTCAGTTCGAATCATATGCGAAACAGTTTTAAACAGCGGTAGAATTGCTGAAGTTTATTTGAGTAAACAAGAATGCGAACACTATATGATATTTTATACAAAGATCATCTTATATACAGACACGAACATTGCTCTCTGTACAATTAACAATTTGATATATCACCCGGCAATCTGGACTCTTATAAACTGAACGGTCACGATAGAATTGCTCGGCATTTAATTTGTTAAATCTAATCGAATCTCACCGATGTCGAGCTCATTCGGTAAGAACGTTTGATCTAATGGTATCCTGAAATGATCAATCGATATGCAGACTGCCTGAAATACCTGTAAGATTATGTAATCCCTAGTATGTAATGGCAAATTTGCGCACGGGTTTGCGGAGTTATTGCTTTATTAAGCAAAAAAGTCGGCCAAGTCGACTTGAAAATAATTAAGTAACAATTCCTTAGAAATATGTAGCTTGAAAATATTCCTGTACTATCATTATCATGGTCCAGGAATGGCAGCTCACTAGCATTAATTTAGCTCATTGCCTATAAGCAAGCAATGACTTCCTCGACAAAATGCTGCGAATCATCCCGTCCTTTAATGCGAATGATCCCGTCCTCTAACACCCGGTGAATTTATCTGTTAGCAGCACCAGAAACCTGCTCAACTCAACGTTACGGTATTACTATGAAATCAAATTCTTGTTCCGGATGAGGGCAATGATCAATTTTCTCCATCNTCTAAGTGAACACCAGGTGGTTATTCGAATAACACTGATAACATGAAAATGCCATTGATAAGACGATTAATTCATCGCAAAATACCTCCTCACCTTATTTGTTTGGTTAACGATTGTTGCAGTAAGTATTGTGGCAATGCCGAATGGCATTCATGAGAGATAACGATGAATGGTTCAGGATCATTCCAGTAAAAGAAATCAAAATCATAGCCACATCCTTCGACCACGAACTCGCCATTCCCATCACTTGCATTCCGCCCCATCAAGTCATCTGTTTCCCAAAGAAGATCTAAACTCTCGATCTGGCAATAACCATTGACGATGATAAGCCTTCTGATCAGTTTATATCGTTTTCAGTTGGAAACCAAAGCAGTTTAAACAAAAGCATTCAAAAACATCTTCAAAAGAAAACATTTGAAGAAAAGTTTCTATCAAATGCACTATTCCAGTAACATCCGAACTAATCTGATGTTTTCCCTTGTATTCAAAATGCTTTGCCCTGCAATCCTTAATGGATATAACGCTACCGAATATAACGATGCACTACTAATTCGTTAGCATCAAACTATCTCACTACTTCAGTTATCTCTTTAGAACAATTATTTCTTGTACTAAGCATTGAGAGCTCATCTCATTTAATTTAATTCACGATTAGTTATTGACAGCATCGAAATGGGATAACTTCAAGATGAACCGTTACCAACTTTTGGAAATATATTCAAATAAACAAGAATTTCAGTGCATACTGCATATCACATACCGTCTTCATCGTAGAGTGTCACCTCGATATTTTGAGTTTTCGTTTGATCTGTGGCACAGTTCAACTTCCCTTTAACGCGAACACATCGCGTTCGAGCATTCGCTAAGCTGATCAATTGGAATAAAGCGACTAAAATGATCATTGAATATCGCATCTTCATCTCGTTCTATTTAGACGTCACAATGATAACATTCGTCCACTCTGGAATGCTTGAAAAGCTTTGCATAAATTAATGCACTTATTCTGTTGTAGTCCACATCGACTTTGCATGAAACTGATGAAATTCTATCATTAAAACAACATTGTCTTCTTGAACGATTGCTCGAAGCTGGTGAAATCAAGAAAGAGAAAATCGTTTTGAAAACAAACGATGATATTTGTCGATTTCGCTGAAAGCAACAGAACCAACGATTTTACACCAAAAACACGTTAGTAAATGAATATTTGAATGCAGTAGAATCACGATGGATTCAATAGAATCAGAACAAGTAAACGAAGCAAACAGCACCCTTTCGCGACAAATCAAGCATTATCGAAGTCACATCAAATGACTGCGCGCAACTGAGCAGTCACAATTGGTGAGGCACTGCCAGTTAGCAGCTGCTTCTTTGTTATCATATTTATCAGGTACATAGATGTTTTTTATGAGGCGTCTTCGGTCTTATCACTAAGCATTTTGCGGAATGGAAGAGTTCATTTTTACGTGTTACTTGTAAAAGCGAACTTCAAGTTACATGGCACATTTGCAGCGTGCACATGGCGTGGAAAATATAATATTTACTGAACAGTTCAAATTGTGCGATAAAAGTGCTACAATTGAAAGTAATCATATGATGACGAAGGCTTGCACGATAAGCATTTATCAATGAAATATGCTGGCTTTCAAAGAGAGTTGAAATGAAGAATAATTCATAATACTTGATTGGCAGATCTGCAAATGAAACTGAAAACAATTACACGAAGAGTGCAAAATCCAGCACAGTAAATTTCAATCTTCCAAAAGGATTCCTTATCTTGATCAGTTTTCTGCAGGATTGTGCTCATCAAGCATAATACGAACAACCGAATCATAGCACTGATATGATCCGGTGTTTACTTCAGTTTATGATCAACAAACGTTCCATTTGGATCACTGAGCAGAAGTGCAAATTCTTCTCAGTACGTTGGAGAACTTTCGTATAAACATTACAAACAAACTGATAAAATTAATGAAAAATAAAATTTTTAGCAAACTGCAAAATCGAGTAAGCGATATGATAGCATCAACGATAACAACAGTGATAACATTAATGATAATAAAATTATTATATTAAACATCTTATTCCAGCCTTGATGATTGCTTGACAAGATGAAATAAGAAGCGTTATTATTATTTTCATCCTCATATTTTTTCATTCGAACGATTTCGATTCAAATTGACTCATCAGCAGCAAAGTATTTTCATTTTCTAGATCAGAAAACATTTTACACGTTAATCTTCGTTCATATTGGTTGACAACACTGAATTGTAAATACGAGAATGTTTTGAAATTCTTAAAGGAACCACTCATGAAAAGCAGCAACAAAATGTTTGGAGAATACGAGAACACGAGGCTGGCTGATGGATTGTTATCACAAAATTGAAGAGAGCTTTCAGTGAACGAATCCATCGTTAGTTTGTATCGATACGGAACAGTTATAAGCAAACACAAGTTCCATATAGTTAGTATATACGAAACAACCACATATCAAACTCGCCATAAATATTATTGAGAAAAATATGGAAGTGTTTCTCTTATCAGTGAAAATTTAATCGCGGTTCATCGAAAAACGATGGAAATGAAGCAACAGCAGGGAAGTAACTAATCTTATAAGGGCATTTATCGAAAACAAATAGTATAAGATGATTAAATAGGTAATTGGGTAAATAGCCTTTCATGGTTTGAGCCCATAAATGCTTAAGCTTTCGATCGGTCGTCTTCGACTAGGTTCAAAAATAATAATATCTGAAGGGTTGAAAGTAGAATATTTGCTTAAAGGACAGCATATTAATATTGAAAACCAAACTATTTAATAAATTATAAGGGAGTTTCTGAAATTTTCCAGTACATGTGCGCAATGTCAAAAAAATCGAGTGGTTGACTCGAAATTGATTGATTGCCTCGAAAAAANAAAAAAGAAAAAACTTGAAGGACATGAAGATTCACACTGATTCAAAAAATCAGGAACCACTGGTAAAGTATACTTAAAAAGACTGTCATCGGAAGGAGATGGATTCCTGCAATAGCCCATGTGATTTTATAGATCCATTGTTTCTGAATTACAAATCATGACTGCTGATCATCAGTTATAAGAAAAGATGAACATTGGTTCCATTAAGCGATTGTCAGGTGAATCAAGAACCATCCTTATGCTCACGATAATTTCTCGTTCGATGACTAATTGCTCTATGAGCAAAACATTTGTTGTCAATGACTAATTACACATTATATTGATACTTTCTATCACCTTCAATATAATCTTATGAAATTTTCATGAATTGGCCAACCGCAAACATTCATATCATATCATGCATCAACCATATTCATTAATATTCCAAAGCGATTACGAATGCTTTATAATTCATTCTAATAACATCGCTGCTTTCGTAACACTCAAATAATGATAAAAGGCAAGTCTAAGTCTTTAGGTAAACTCTTTGGGATGGATCATCGAACAATAAGGTAAGATCGAAATAAAACTGAGTCAAGGCGGGTAACAACTGAGCACTTTCATAATCGGTAAATACGAAATTCGCTGAGCTTTCAAGAAATGATTTCTGTCACATCTGTTCAGAGTTCAGTTAGCTTATCAGCAAATAAATTGAACGGCCTGATAAAAATCAAATACCGCTGACTACTTTCTGCTACCCGCTTAAAGTGTGTTCACCAACTGCCATTTCTAACATAAACACGGAATGCATCATTAATATAATGATAGCAATGTAATAGAATAAATATTTTCATTCATGTGAACAACGTTCATACAACAAATCGTATGGGAAGGCAAGTTTTCACATGACGATAAGAAAACATTTCATATGATAACAGAATGAGTGACATATTATACTAAAATAATATGAGAATATGATAATATATGAGAATACACTACTCATAAAATCAGAGCGAAATTTACATAACAAATTCGTTTACATAACAGATTGTCTTACAACATTATGAAATAATTTGAAAACATTCAATTTGCAAATTATTATCTTTCACGAATTTTTTTCATTTCATTTTCATCAATTTTTTTTTTGTTCTGATTGTTTTTATTTTATTTTATTTTTTTAATTTTTATTTTTGAACTTTGTTTTTATCATTAGATTTTTTTCATTGTTTTTTTATTTTTTATTTTTATTTTTGATTTGTTCCGATTTCCGCGATAGGATTTGCTGATGGCCTGGTGTAGTGATTCACTACTGGTTTGTGTTGACGTTTGATGATATTGATTCCATCTCGTTGCGAATGCTGAGAAGCTGCAACCTGGTGATTCCGAAGTTTGGCAATCTATGGAGGACACAGTCTACATCTTCTTCAATAGATAAGAAAACTCTGTAGGGTATTTCATGCTCAGTTCATTTACTTAATAAATATAGCATAAGTCAACCAAATTTGTCATTAGTAGGGATTCACTCAGTATCCGGACCGTACAGTCGATAGAAGAATTGAGGCAATGAGATATCTAACAAGTCTGCAGTAACATCTCAACCCAGGTAATGCTTAAACTCAAACAGTATCTGAACTCCTGCTATATCCGGCTCCATACAATGTCCTGACTCACACTTTGATGCAAGCTTGGACGCATATCCAAGCATAGCAATTCTGAAGCGATGCAAGCATTCACTTCAAGCAATAAGCAGGCTCAGATGATATCTGAGCTCAGATGAACACCCCATCAAAGTAATATAATAATAACCATATCGCTTGTATAATAACAAGCGAACCCCCGAGAAGCTGGCATATCGCCCTATGACTTCTCTTCAACAATGAGAGTAAAATCCCACAAAACATCATTTTAGGAATAATTTTGGGATTTCTTATCGTACTGGTCTGAAGACCAGCTGCTTTGTTAAATAATTAATAATTGCCCAACATGACATTAACCCTGAATGGGGTTGCGTCAGGACATGGAGCCGATGACAAGCGGAGCTATGAAACGCATTACAACTGAACAATTGGGGTTGAGATGGTCAGAATTATCGCAATTAATCTAAAATAGTCTTCAAATCTTATCGGAAATTATAGTTTTCTATGGTTTGAATACTGAGTTATAAGAAGAGTCCCAAGCATTTGCCATATTTCAGTCCAAGTGATTGGGTGAACTTCGTTCATTGGTTGCAGCTTCAGCAATGACTATCGACGACCTTGTTTTGGTTCATATCAAATGAATAATGAGAGCATACATCTGTCATAGTGATAACGTGCAACACTGATAAGGCTATCATACAACGGTGATAGCGATAGCATACGATGGTGAAAATGATACATTAACACTTCTTACGATTAAATGTGAATCACTCGAGCATATTTGGAGCTGAATACATAACAGAATACAAGAAAGCACACGATCATGATGGCGGATGGATTAGCTTGAGCAATAACAACAAGTGCTTGATATGGTAACAATGAATGGTAAGCAATTTCAATAATAAGCTGTTCATCGACCGAAATGAATAGCATTACAGCAGCTCTTGCGGAACAACAAGTGCTTGATACAAGAGTATGCATGAGGCAACCAACACACATCAAACTGTATGATTCATGATTATATGTTGAATATTAGATTCATACTCTATTGGATTCATGAATACCATAAAATCTCAACAATGTTTTCTTTAGTAGGTATCATACAGATCCATATCCTTTATGAATATCTACAGTGATATTTCACTCTATGCATATTACTAAAGGAACATGAATGAAACAACGAACAACCTCATAATCAGTTCATAGTTCATGTCATTAGCAAAGAATTACAAATGTATTGGATATGAGAAAGAAAATATTGAGTGGAACATATCAATGAACAATTCTCGGAATGATTTATGAAATGGCAGTTAGCTATTCTCCTAATACTAGCTGAATTGACTTGCTATTAAAAATTAATTTCTTCTTGGTCAGA